GCAGTGCATTTCTTTAATGCCCCCCCCCATTTTATTTTTTGAACAGGTCAACTCAAAAAATTGAAATTTGAGATAATGAAATTAATGCATGAATACTTTATTTTGTACTGATATTGACAGATGAAACTTTCAAGATGGCGACATGGCGCCATTTGGGGAAAGGAGGGTCTTATGACACATTATTTTTAAGCTCCTGATGAATACTTTACAACCCTAGAATAAGAAGCCAATATCTTCACCTACTACAAAATGGCTAACATTTAATAATTTCCTGAAGACAAACACATTAATATCGATATTTCTAGAAATATTCCTTTTTATCTGCCATACGGCAATTCCAACAACCCAATAAGGTTTGTTAAGTCATTTTTTGTTTGCCGTTATTGGAGTGACACTAACCCTCACGTTTTCCGGGGAACACATACCCAATATCCAGAAAAAACTAACGTTTGGGCAGGAATATTGGGACACTATATTGTGGGACCTCTGTTTATTGATCAAAATTCAACAGGGGACCTGTATTTGAATATGCTGGAAACTACTGTTGACCCTCCCATTACTGAAATCGTCAAAGCGAATCTTAATGAATTTGATATGGATATTGTATTCCAACAAGATGGAGCACCACCAAGTTACTCCAGACAAGTAAGAAACTATTTGGATACTACTTTTCCCGGTCGTTGGATAAGCCGTCGAGGTCCTACAGAATGGCCAGCCCGCTCGCCAGATTTGACATCTTTGGATTTTTTTATGGGGGTATTTGAAGCAAAAGGTGTACGAAACTGAACCTGCTTCAATATTGGATATACGGCAGAGAATAATAAATATTTGTAGAGATATTAACGTTACTGTGTTCGAAAATGTTCGGCGTGAAATATCGGATAGGCTGTTCATATGTCAAGAAGTTCAAGGCAACCATTTCGAGCATCTTCTGAACTGACCTCAAGCTTTTTACCTTATATTATGTAGTTAAATGTCGATGTATTTAAGCAACTAGTAAAAGTTCCACCATTTTGTAGTAGTTGAAGATATTGACATTATATTCTAAGGTTGTGAAGCATTTGTCAGGAGCTTCAAAAATATGTGTCTTTCCATTTAATGTTTTCCCCAAATGGCGCCCAGTCGCCATCTTGAAAGTTTCATTTGTCAATTTCACTTGAAAATAAAGTATTTATGCATTTATTTCATTATCCCAAATTTCAATTTTTTGAGTTGACCCGTTCAAAAAATAAAAGGGGGGGACATTAAAGAAATGCACTCTATTATATTTTCAGTTACAGATGCTTAGGATCTCAGGTCCCGCGCAATAGCCCCCCCGATATTTCAAAAAGAAGAGTAATTTTGATTCAGGCATCAACGATTTTACCCCACTCGCTGTTATTAATTTTCTAAAGCGATTTCTGAAATTGAAATGGATATTTTTTAGAAAAGATTCATTTTTGGGATAAAAGATTTTGGCTTTCTACTTCTCCATCTTTATATAAAGATTATGGGAACTTCCAAAGGAAGGAAGAAGCAATCAAGTTCAAAATAAACTATTCACAAAGATGTGTAAATCATGCATAGAAGTAACATTCAGATACAAACTGAAAGAATAAGACCTCCCGAAACAACTACTTTCACAAAAACATTGAAAAACTATAAAGATTGAATTATATGAAAATAACTTTTTTCTATTCGGTATGTATAATTATTATATTGAAGAGTTACGATATAAAATTTCACTTTTAGGAAAATTTTCGGAATAGAACACTTGTTTTGGAAAATATTACAAGATAGAGCAATCAATTCATTCATAATATTACGATGTTATGTCACGAAAGAGTTGAATCTACTCATGTCACAATGACAGTACGCTTATTTGATTTGATCCTAGAAAACTCCGATTGGTGACTCCGAACAACTTCATTAATATGAGGAGAGGTGAAAAAACTATTGAAATGTATGTTTTAGCACGATTTCTAGAAGGGCCAGATAATATGCAGTGAAAATCGAAAATCCCAGAATTGGAACAAACCGGTTGCAGTCTAATCTTAATTACAATTCTCTGAAGACACTGTCAACTCAGCATTGGCAGACATTTTTGAACATTGTGTCAATTTTATTGGATTGGATATCAGATTTTCTAACCTTCAGGAAACGACTTGTCACTGTAGGCAATGAAAACTGAAAGTAGAAGTTAGAGTATTGATCTAGGTATACCACAAGGTTCCATTTTTGGAGAGCTGTAACTCTGGAAATGAGGGGGAACGCCGATTTTTTCTTTCGGATTCGTAATCCTCACGTCAAAATACGTAAGTACACTAATATTTTTTGCAAAAATCGGATGTTGCAGCTCATCTGAAATGTTAACTGGAAGTGTAGCTAGAACTAGAGGGCCTCAAGGGAAATCTCTTTCAGATGAAGGAAAATGAAATATTTTTTTTCTGTAAAGTGAAAACTAAAGCACCACTGGATATACAATCCAACAAAGTTTACAAATTGAACTGTGGAAACTGTCCCAAATGCTATGTTGGCCAAATCGGGTGTTATCTCAAAACACAAGTTTCAGCCATATGAGATATTATAAAAAAGCTTAATATCAAGAATCCCACAGCCCTTGTTGATCGGGAAAGAGAGCATGGAAACATGTCATTGTTACTTCTAACAACATTAACAATGACAGCAATTATAAAGTTTGTCGCATACATGTTTTATAAAATTCATTGCTACAGAGCCCTGGAGAAAAATGTAATTGAATTCGAAACGTTGGCAAGAAATCAATAGTTTTTCTTAGATAATTCATTCTGTTACCCAACAAAACTTTCTGAAACCGGAGTTTATCCTCATTGCGTAGTATCAGTGCAACAGGAGAGGTTCTACAAAATGGCCATCCAAATCCCCTGATTTGACTTCACTGTATGGGGATGGTTGAAATCAAAAGACACAACAAACTATTTATAGATAATTTACGGGAAGAAATTACCAGGTGATGTAGGCTACTAACACCTTATATTATTCAGTATGTAAGAGAGGAAACAGAAGATCGTTCATACATTTATATGCAAGTTAATGGTGCTGAGTTTGAACAAGTGAATCGTTCTGTTGAGTTTCACTTTCTAGTTCAAAATAAAATACAAAATTCACGAAAGTGTTAGGTTGTTTCAAAATTGTTTTCCGTGTTTATGAATTTTCTTTGAACGGTAATATCTCAGTGAATACTCATTCAATTTAAGCGTCATTTGAATCAGTGCACTTTTGCCAACGTAACACAAGTCGTTTAATTCTATCAGCATAAAATTTGTGTGCTCGAGATTCGATGAGGTTGACGAAAGCCATTTTTGCCTGATCCTGGCGAAGGTTCTTCCGGTGATACAGTAATCAAAGTGCTTGAAAAGATGGTAGTCGGTTGGCGAGAGGTCTGGGAAGTATGGAGGATGAGGCAGAACTCTGACGAATAATTCGTTTAATTTTCAACCAGTGATTTGCGAAACGTGCAGACGGGCGTTATCGTGGAGCAGGATCGGACATCTTCTGTTGACCAGTGCCGGCTCCTACTAACATTTTTTTTACATTTCTTCGTGTTCCTCACAATAGGAATCTGGTGAGAGAGTTTGGCTCGGTTGCAGAAAGTTATAGTGCCTTTGGGAAGTGCTTGGTTGGCCCATCGGTGTCATACCACCGTCCTGAGGTGGTTTAACATGGAGCTACAAAAACACATGATACTAACACGAACAAAAGTTTTAAAATAACCTAATATTTCAATTTTGCTGATATTATTTACCGTTGAAATGTCAAAAATGTTGCAGGGTTGAATAAGAATTGGAAAAAAGGTGTCACGTGAGTTGTTAAGGTGAAGGGGTTAATTTTCACATATGTTCCTCTCAAAGCTGACGTTGACGTGCTTTGACGATTTATTCAGTCTCAATTTCAAATGACTTATTGGGGGTATCCCGTTTCAACTGCAATACACTGTCTATAAGATTTATATAGTAACGTATCGAAATGAACCAGGAATTTGTTCTTTACACATGTATAAAGTTCTCTCACATTTTTATTCATTCCGATATTGGAAACTAAAAACTCAATACAATTTATTTCCTCTTTGGTATCAGTATTATCAAAGCATAATTATTTTTGAGACGAGTAACTCATAATTTCTAAACTCATGTCATATTCTGGACATAACTTTGTGAGCAATAATTCATTTAAAACAACGCAAATACAGGGTGTTATGTCAATTTGGTGCAAAGTTCATCTTTTGAAAACAGACAGATTGATAATAATAATTTCATTCTCAGTTTTATTCGTTTTTTATATCTTCGGCATGCCGTCAGATATGGTTAGTAGGAAATAAAAAAAATAAAAACCTTCTACAGACCAGAATATGAACTTGGAACGCTTGTGAGGATATGTATCAACAAAATGTAGTGAATATGAGCAGAAAATGTAATGAAAACGATAACTAATAATGACAATATATCCCTTTTTGAAAATTATCCCAGGCTATAATCTAATAATCTCCCTTCTTTCGTTTCTTTTAGCAGATCTACGTTGGATAATACTGTGAAAGAAGATTTCTTGTGTGTTAATGTTTAATTATCAGAACAATATTTCAGAACACCAAACTAGTGATTTGTTCATTTTCCTGTGTATTTTTCTGAACTCACGGTTAGCGAGAGAGATTAAAATTTGAGTAGTCGTCTAGCACCTAAGTTAATATTTGTTTACTCTATTAGAAAGTTAAGGAATGCAAGAAGTCTTCCCTCTACAAAGATGAATGGTTAGTCAATAAGGCCTTGTAAACCACCAAATCTTCCTTTCGTAAAACAGAAAGTTGCGAAAAAACTGGCGACTCCTACATTTTTTCTGATTGGGCGTTTTATTTTGATGGCGATCCTAAATTTGAGAGGTTCAGAAATCGAGTTTTCCACAAAATCGGACAAAGATTCGTAAACAAGGCGGTCTACATCGACACAAAAAGCCAAGGGCTCCGCTACTATCAAGACATTCAATCTCACCTCTTCGTCAAACTCGAAGTCGCCTTCGAACTTCCTCTTGCGCTTCGCCTCACTTGCATAAATGACGGCGGCGAGGGCAAACATCAATAAAATCAGCCTCATCTTTGCGGGTTTTCGCGAACGTTCTCAACAAAATCACTGAAATGTTTATGTCAGACGGAACACAATCGAAGAATCCTCAGTTACGAGCGCCATGGACGATGGACGAGCAGACACGACGACTTTTTGATTATTCGATTCCAGTGGCCTGCCTATCTTCTGGTCTTCTGCGACGTTGCCGCGCGCTCTTTCCGTAAAGTCGCTAGGTTTGGGGCTAAAAAAAGGGTCGGGAATAGGACGCGGACGACACGGGGGTAACGAGGAAAAATCTGGAGTAATTTGGAGGTTTTTATGATGAAAAGTCTGGAGGTTTCATGTCAGGTGACCCAGCATGCCGTTCTATAGAACCTCGTCTGTTTATTTAATAACTGCGTATAAACTAGCTACTGTCGTATAGTTGCCAATTGAAAATTCTTGGGATTGATATCCAAGCAAATACAATTACATCTTCAAGGTTTTGCAGCCATGTCGCAATAGTATTTGCTGTGTTGCATTCCAAGTCAGCAAGAAGTGACAATGGCAGTTCTTATTTATTTGAAGTCCCAATTTATTCTTTCAAGCCATCATTTTAATTCAATAATTCTTGGAATTTTTTATAAATCCCCTTTTTAGTAATGTTTTCTATATCCGGAATACACTTCACTGGTCCACTTACTATTGTCTCCAAGAACATAATTGCTAATTGGTAGTTTTTATGCAGTACGAAAGACAGATACTAGTCTAATTAGTTTTATTCTAACTACTGAATAATGTGAATATCAAATACTAAAATAATATGCAAAATATGTTTCTGAATAGATTGATGTTAATTATAAGGTAGGATGTTAGCTTTACTTCCTTTCTATATCAAATTGGTTTGCTTTCAACTGACATGGTCTGAGATCAGACTGAAATACGCATTATTGCTAGATATCTACAAATGTGAGTGTTGAGATGCATTCATTATTTCTAGACTCCTCAAGACAAAATATGGTGGTACGTAAAAAAGAAATTATATAGTTGGCAAGATTTCACCTCTGAATCACCTTAAAAGGTATCTAATGCCCGAGATAGAATGTAAGAAATATTAATAGTGTAACTGGCAGAGAAAATAAGTGATTTATGACACTGACGACATTTATTGTTGTTATTTTTAGTAGTGTTACAAGAGTAGATAATTGGGGAATACTGCAGTGCCCCACACTATATAATTTACTAGATGGAAGAAGGAGAATAGCTCAGTAGATGGATTTCAGTGGACTTCATTTCCTTCAAATCAGTTTTTTGGATAATAAAACTTTGTTTGTTCAGATACGTGTCTATTCGTTCAATAAAGTGTTTTTTGAATATATTAGTTATGGATTTTCATCAAGTATCGGCCAATTCCATCATATATCTATCAGAAAACAACTACTCCCCTGGCTGATACCACGAAGGGCGTTGGATTATATCCTTCACTGACGTTATTCCTGCATATGTTATTGGCGATACAACTGCAGCAATAGATTTTCAATTATTGGAACACACTTGCAGACCGGTTTCGGGCTGTTTGGTCACTCGTCAGTGCAAGGTAGTATCTATCATCAACATAAAGTCGATGATTTCCGATAATTGAAAATCGAATTCTTTCAGAGTATCATTCGAACTAGGCTGAAGCGGACAACAAACAACAGGTTTGCCATCGCCCCATCTGCCTTAGAACGAGGTAACCAACCACATATCTGAAATTTGCCCAATTTCTCGTATAAGTAAATAAAACTTTTCACATATAGACAGTGGGCATACTTGAAGACTGGCTATATTTGATTTATAGTGGCTATATTTTATGTGAAATGAATTTCATCACTTTTGAAGTTGGAAACCTGAAGTTTTCGGTTGATAAAAAAATATTGTAACTATTTGTTTAAAATTATCTGTCACGAAACTTAATGTGACAAACCAAATTCTACGCGACCGAAGCCGCGGGCGACAACTAGTACTTTCATAAAAAAAAAAGAACGAGAATCTTTGGTTTGAATAGTTTTGGAACGAATGCTACTGAGAAAAGTGAATAATTATACCTGTAAAGCCGGTGAATTATCTGCTATCCTACAGTGGTATTAACAGCAAACAACTGAGAAGAAATATATTATAGAAATTTCTGTGCTCATATTATAATGGAGATATCCGTCCTTGAATAAGGTTCGTAAGTATCAGATGTTATCGTAGCACAAGTGCTACTGAGAACAACTCATCAGTAGCACTTGTGCTAACTGAGATGAACTTTACTTTTGTTATATCAGCAACTAGCTCTGTAATTTATCTAAATATTTGTATGTAACTACAGCTGGGAAACAATAACGACGATTATTATTATTAAAAAACCTTTTATATAAACCTCAGAGGAAAAAACTTCTTTTTCTGATATATAAACGTATCTTTGAGATATCAACACAAATTTATTAACTCTTCAAATTTCTCAAAGAGTTTGAAATGCATGCCAGAAAAAGTAAAAATTTTAGATTGGCACTCATTTATATCCAATTGAGTTGAATATTGTATTATCTTGATATCAGAAAGTACTTACATATCTGCCTGGAAGTACAAAAGAACGTGTTACCCTGATAGATTATGCGGATAAAATTGGAATCGAAGTTATAGTGGAAACAGAACACATTATATCTTACAGGTTATGATAGAGTGGCTGAAGGGCATGGTGGAGGATAGGACGATGTGGTGGAATGGGATGACAATTGAAGGAATCCAGGTAGAAAGTAAGAAAACTGTGACGATATGGGTGAGCTATTGAGAATAGTAAAAGATTGACACAAAAATCACATCTTATAACTCCGGCACTCTGGCACAAAATAAATATTGTTTTCTGAATTAGAACACGAGAATTGTCATCCCTAGCGTATATGGGAGCTATCAATCTGAGAGTCATTGGTGATAGCTAAAATCTCTGGTGCAAAGTGAAATCAAGCAGTAACCGCTAATATAAAAGATGCAGCAAAAATGGGAATGCTGGAATGATATTCAAATACTTTTACTTGAGTATTGCTCAAGACAGTCTCAAGAAGATTTGTCCTTCATTAGACAAAAATCGGTCTCAAGTCTAAGTAGTTTCAAAGAGTGTTTCCTTTCAGGAAAACTTCCGAAGGAAACGAATCACTGGCGAAGGAGTCAAGGACGGATTTGGATATAAATTGTGGAGGAGTCAATTTCTAAATTTCAGGGTGTGTTAATTTTCAGAAAGGATAATTCATATATGAAAAATATATGAGTGTATATATATTACAATACTCATTTGAAATGCATTGAATGTTGATTCCGAATTGTAATACCCCCATTATCTCGTCCCCACTTAAAAGGAATGTAATATAATTCATTATTCAGGAAAATGCTGAGGAACCGATAAATCCAACCGAATCTGGCAACACCGCACCAATCTTTCTGATCGGAGAGTGCGCCTCGCTTGCAAGAAGACCTTTCTTGTGCAGTGCAGGATCAGGTAGAGTGGTGGGGGTGAGCTACCGAATATCAAATCAATGTCCAATGCTAAGAGTAGGGGTGAGATGAGTACGTTTTACGTTGTGGATTCGATTTATCATTTTATCTGTCTAATCTCGGTTTCTCTGTCTAGGTTTGTACGCTCATTTCTGCTCTATGCTCCTCCTTATACAAGGGTAATCACACCGGCGTCATCCGGGGGGGCTGCGACAGTTACGGGTCCGCTGTTTTCATTGAGTTGATGAAATGTAGATGGAAACTATGGAAAGGAATTAATGAAGCAGATACTTCGTTAGAGCTACGGCTAGAGGGTGTCCCTGATTGTTAACTCTAATTCTTATTCATTATGCCCAAGCACTTGCAGTTATTATATAGGGGAGCTTGTAGGTGAGGTTTCTGCGATATGGGGTCGGCAGTCATTTAATTTGCGAGGGTGCGATTTGAATTACCTGGAACTTATTTACGGAATGAGATATTCACTGTCCCAGAAATATTTTTTATCTTTCTACTCTCTGGGCCGGTGTTCCTGAATGATTACTTTCTTTCAATCCCAACTACATTGTGTAGTTGGAACGAGGAAGTACAAAAAGGGAAAGGAAATCGAATGAAAATGTAACAAAACTTCTCCGTAATGCTTCCACAAATCCAAATGTTGAAAATAATGACAGCACATAACCTCCGTTTTCGCGTTTTGACGTTGGATTATCATTTATGTAAAACATACTGTAGTAGAAAAATTATCAAAACGAGAATGTCACGTTTAGTTATAGGTACTCATCGTCATACAAAAGCTTTGTGGAGTGAACTGACAAAAGAACTGGAGCTTACAAAGAAGGTTTAGTTTCATAAAAAATCATTCAGGTTTTAGGTCATCTGTTTTTCTGAATCTTAGCAAGCGATACACCGAACCCAACCAGTAGAAATGCTGTTTCAAGCGATAGTTCTACTGATAGAAACACGATTTTTCGTTTGACATATTTTTTTCTAAGTCGGGTTGTAAAAGCAAAACTATGGAGGATATAAGTGAAATTGTTTCGATAGTCTAGCCTATTCAGGAAAAACTTTCAGCACGACTCAACTGGGGTATGATTGTATAAGCATAGTTTGAGTGTGCATGCATGCGGTTGAAATTTTAAGCGTAACTTAAATATGACTATGAAGCAGGTTCAACGGTAAATTTTTGAAGCTCAAACCTAACCTATATGCGATGATTCTATTTTAATATTGCCATTCTATGCCATCGGAAAATTTTTTCCAAGCTGCGGGTGGATTTTCCGAAGTTGGTAAAAGTACAGTTAGTCGTTTAGTGTGAATGAAAAGGATATGAGACAAATTTCCTAGTTTTATCTATATCGCCATGTTTTCCAAAAGACACCTTTTATTAACAACTTCAGTAGATCCCCAAAAAAAAGCAGCTATTATAAAATAATTTCTATTTTAGGATTTACCATCAAACTTATATAGGAACAAGTCCATGACGACATAATAGCTTCAATCTCTTATGATATTGCAAAATTTCTGTTATAATTTATGAAAAATGCGGAATTTCATTCGCTTTTTTAGTTAAAATATAAACATATCTTATCTTGTTCGAGTTCTTCTACTTTTTTATGGATCATTCTTCTACTACGATTAGGATCCATTATTTATTAACAAATAATGCTCACCTTTCAAA